TCATATCAATTCTTTCAGGAAAAGCTATAGGCCGACTGAGGGTGAAAAACTTAATGTTGTTCAGTTGTTGGACAATGAAACAAGTCTCGACGAGTGTGCTAATTGGGATCTGATGGGAAATCACCTCGCAGCTAAAGAGCCAAAGCACATACGAGCCATGTATAGAAATATGTAGAAACTATGACGATTTCTCTCTCCACTATTTTTCTATTGAGTTCGTGAGTCGTGTATTATTTGTGGTTGTTCGAGTTTTAGTTTTGTAATAATCACACACATCGTGAGCTATTAAGGACGTGGCTATCATCGTGTTCGTTGGAGTGTGAGATTTAGAGTATGAAGATCATGCTCATGATTGGAGTATTGTGATGTTATTTTGTGATGACTCTTGTACCGATATCGAATTGGATTCGGCACTACCGTAGACGCTTGCCTATGGATTTTTTCTTCAAAAAAACATGTATGTGCATGGCATGTGGTCAAATAAATACAAATTAACATGGCCTTTTAGCTGATTCTTTTAGGTCTTTGGATTAAGTTAAGAAATTTAAAAATTTGACGTGAAAATAGTTCCACTTTTTCAATATATATACCTATGATACTTATTTATTTTGCTGAATAATATATACCTTTCTAATCATTGAGCATCTGATACTTAACTTTTTAATTAAGAAAAAGCCGACTAAACGATGCCATGCATTGTATTATTTAATGCATGTGTTTGAATAGTATTTGTGTATACTTTATACCAAATATTATTATTAACCAAGTACATATGTTAATTATATTTTACTACATAATTAATTAATTCGAATTTCGAGTCCCATACAATAGGTGTAACAAGACATATTATTGTTGCATCATGTTTTTTCCCCCCTCAATTTTAGGGCGAAAACTGTTTTGGGCGGCACGGACTGTACAAAAATCAGACGTTGAATTTTGCCTATTATTTTTATTTTTATTTTTTTTATAATTAATTTTGCCTATTATTTTTGTCTCCCGTTTAAAGTTGCTGCTGGAAAAAGCTGAGATTGAATTGAAAGTTTCCAATCTTCATAATTGCAGTCTTGTTTTATTTAAGCCTGTTGTTATTTGTCTTCTTGTGCACCTTTTTGACGGGAGACTTAAAAAGGAAGCTAGATTTCTACAGTATAATATATGTCTTGTTTCGAATCATAACACATCACAAGTTTTTCTTTTTAAACTTTATAGCATGAAAATCAATATTTGGTAATTAATCAAGGTCATTTGTTTAGAAAATTGAAAGAGGTTTGTTTATTATAGTATTCTCTTCTCGGTATGACTTTCGAGCTTTCATTATGTCAATATACATATATACATATATATATATGTATATGTATATGTATATATATAGTTGGATGGGATTCTATATTAATTGTGGGTATCTATAAATTAATATTAATGCATGTTTTAACGTCTAACTTAGTTTTGACCGTGTCACATGAGAACATATGTAACATTAAAATAAAATAAAATAAAATAAACTCTGCTCATTTTTACCATACAATTATTGCTATAAAAAAAAAAAAAAAAAAAAACTAATATGCGTCAGATGCTACATATCATATTTATAGTTTATTGTACGTTAGAGGGAACAATTTAGGTAGTAAAATTTCCATAAAAAAAAAAAAAAAAAAACCCCGCCCATTTTTACCAAAAAATTATTGCTAAAAAAAAAAAAAAAAAAAAAACTAATATGCGTCAGATGCTACATATCATATTTATAGTTTATTGTACGTTAGAGGGAACAATTTAGGTAGTAAAATTTCCATTTCAACAAGGACCAATGACATTTTCTCTTTCCTTACAACACACACACACAATATATATATATATATATATTGTCTTCCAAACAGAAACGGTTGAATTACCTAATTCTACAAAACATGTGCATACAGGCGAACAAAATTCTTTGAAAATTTGAGTTTAGTCAAACATTGTTTAATGAAATCCCAAAACTCTTGAGAATCTGATACTTTCTACTTTCTACTTTCTAAACATATGAATAAGCCGCCTAATTGATTCCCTTGCATTATTCAGTTCATGAATCTTGTAATCCTACTTAATAATTAATTCAAAAGCTGCTTCATTTTTTTTAACTATATAATATAATTTCTTCCTACACCAATTCTCTTCTTTTAATATAGAATATAGTTTTTATTATTGATAAACACATGGTGGGTCAATTTGATAATTGAAATGAAAAGGACTCCAATGATTTTGCCGTTTGCATATTGTCACATCATTGCCTCTCAGCTTGTGTCTTGGGCGGCACTGTGTCAGTCCCCCAGAATTCCCTTGTGATTTTGGGTCCCTCTCAATACTTGCTTCAAACCACATGCCTAACAAGAGGAGTAATTCCTCTTTGATAATTCTTTGGTCGGTTAAATAATACTATGGCTTATAAAGGTTATATCTGATTAAAATCACTTTACAATAGTATAATATATATTTACGATTGTTTTAAAATAGTATCTTCTTATTTCAATTTATCGATGTGTTTAGTTCACGCGTTTAAACTTAGGATTTTGATTCTGTTTCATTATTTTCTTTCACAAAAAATTTAAATAAAAAAAGTTAACATCAATGAGTTCTCTTACAAAATTTAAATTCAGACTTAAAATTGCTGAATTGAATTTATGAACCAAACGAGACCTATATTTTCTTGCTTGTTTCAATTGTCGTTGTTGTAGGGTAAAATACCGAACCTTAAACTTAGACCTTGAATGGGGCCCGCAAGCCATAAAGAAAGAGCATTAAATAGTCAAAATCAGCTCAGCCTTAAGAGCTACATCAGCATATAACTTTATTAGGAGTTGACTGTTAAAACTATGTACCTGTTATTAGTAAGAGGTCGGCCGTTTTGAGAAGTCACAAAGAACAAGTATGAGGTCGACCGTACCCGCAATCATAGGTGAAGAGGCTTTCCGGAGCGTTTACAAGGTCGAGGTCACACAAGAAGATAAGATTTGCTATTTGTAATTCAAATATATAAAAGTTAAATAAGGAAACCATTTTGATTTATTGTAATCTCTATCTTTTGAGAAACTATCCCAAAAGGCAATGGAAATAACCCAAATTCAAATAATGAATGTTTATGGGCTGTGACCTAAACTATAAATAAGGGATTATGAGTCAGAAAATCTCAACTTTCACCTTGAGCAATTAGTGCGTTTAGTCTCTCTAAAGTTAGTGAATTTACTCTCCTCCCCACAGTGAACGTTGCTCTAGAATTGAGGGTGAATCACTATAATTTTCGTATATTCTTGTTGTTTAATTGCTCTTTAATTGTGTTTTAGATCATTAAATTTGTGTTAATCGTTAAAAAATTCGTTATTATTTTGTTGACGAATTTTTAACGTCAACAACAGTCGTGATTGAGATTGGAGCTAGTGGATCTTCTCCATAGTGTAGTGTGCATGATTGTGAATAAAAATGCCAAACCATCTAGTCTTCTTCACAATAGACACTAAGTTTTTCTTTTATACACTGTGTGAAAGTTATAGCTCTTATTTTACTAATAAGAAATGAAACTATCAGAATTCGAATTTTAGTAGACACATTTATACACTCACACATCAAACCAGTTAAACTAACTTTAAGTGGGGGCAATAGGTACTATGCTTAATTAAAATACATACAAGAAGTGAATACTATGTACGTATTTGTTAGACTAGAAAAGATACAAAATGAATGTGATGAATATCTAGGCACCCATAGAAACATTAATCACTAATAGAATATATCTTGGATCAATACCGATCACGCCATAATAAACAATCACTCTACGTTTAGGTGGTGAATGAGTTAGTTTACAAGGAATCTGCAAACGTATTAACCGATTCTCTATAACAAATAAGTCTTCGTTTGGTACGTCCTAAGAAATTATACTGTCATTTTATTATTGGATATGGCTTTCTCTTTTAATAAGATTTATGATATGCTGGTTAGTTGTCATGATATATATGTCAAGTTGTTACTGCGATTTCTTGTCATACGTACAGTTCAAAGTTTATCTCGTCAAAACCATGCCAATATTCTGCAGTACTATGTACTGTGGTCGGCGTGAGCCAAATTCGTAATAATGTCATCAAATGATCTTTTCTTAGAATTTATCCTCCAAATGAATATATGTTCTTGGCAAAGTGAGAGACTTATCCTAAAAATAAAAATAATAAATAAATAATAAATAATCATTTGTGTGAACGAAATTTTTGTGTTTGGATTTAATTTGGGTTGTTACTTTTGACAGCCGCCTGAGAAGTTAATAGTAAAGTTTGGATAAACTCATAAACACGACAAAATGTAAGATTCGTTTAGTTCATTAATTTAAAATTTTAATTTGAGTTAAGAAGTGATTTTATGTAAGAGAAGTTAATAGTAAAGTTTGGATAAACTCATAAACACGACAAAATGTAGGATTCGTTTAGTTCATTAATTTAAAATTTTAATTTGAGTTAAGAAGTGACTTTATGTAAGAATTTTTTACTGTAATAAAAAAATTAAATATAATTATTTTTTAAAATTTTTTACTGTAATAAAACTTAAATTTTAAACTTAAATCGATAAAATAAACAGAAATCGTAGTGTATTGTGATTTGGAGGATCTAATTCTTAAGAGTCCAAAACAACCCGTATCAGCAACAGGAGACAAATTTTGGCAATTTGACAAGAAGGGTCCCACCCATTTGAATCGACCTTTTGTTTTGTTTTTTTTTTTCTTTTTTCATGTCGTCAAGAAAGTCAAAAGAGGAAGTTAGGTTTGGATGCATGCTTTTTGTCAAATTCCCACCCCTTTTCCCACGCCTCTCTCTCTCTCTCTCTCTCCTTTTCTTATAATCTGCCAAGACTTGGTCTCTATTTAGAAAACACAACGTAGAATTGCTCTCCTCGTGACAATTGTCGCAAAGCTAGAAGCTCCTTCTTTTGTCACCCTTGTTCAAAATTTTGTTATTTTCTCCTTGTGCACTTTGTCTACTCCAAAATAACTACGCTTTGGACTCTCTCCCACCATCTCTCGTTTTCTCCTCGCTTCAAAAACCATATAAATAAAGCTGCTAATTCTCATTTCCCACCTTGTGGAAATACAAACACTCTCGGCTATACTTTGTTCTTGGAAAAACAAAAAAAGCCTTTTGGCTACTTAAACGACAAAGATAAGAAAAATGATCATCGATTCTAACCCGCCTCTACTCGACCATTATAAAGCTCTTCTAGACCACTCATCCACCCTTCAAACCGCCGAATGCGACGGTCACTTCGATGGAGTGGCCGCGGAAGAATGCCAACTCCCAATGATAGACCTCAATGGCTTAAAAAGTGATGAGGCATTGGAGAGGGTAGAATGTGCTAAAGCTATTTCGAAGGCTGCATCTGAGTGGGGATTTTTCCAAGTAGTGAACCATGGTATAAGCCTTGAGCTAGTTAAGAAGATGAGGAAAGAGCAAACAAAGTTATTTGAAGCACCCTTTGAGGACAAAGCTACTTCTAGGCTCTTGAACAATTCCTACAGGTGGGGGACGCCGACCGCGACTCGTCCAAGCCAGTTCTCGTGGTCTGAAGCTTTCCACATTCCTCTAACAAAAGTTTCAGAAGAAGATTGCTATGGTGATTTTATCTCCCTAAGGTAAAAACTACACACCCTTCTGAGCATTATGCATCCACCATCTTATTATGATCTTTGACACATAAAAAAACAACACAAGACAAACATCTCAAGTTTAGCTCCATCTGCTTAGCAATTCACAAGACAAAATTCATTTATGGCATTAATAATGAAACAGAAAGAAAGAGAACGTTAGGAGAAGCTTACTTGCAACATTCTCATAAAATCTAAAATCCAAGAGACCAACTTCAATGGTATATTTGCGAAGCGGATTTTTTTTTTTTTCCTTGCGCAACTTGCTGTATGGCAATAGCAATAATACCTTTATGCAAGAGGTTAACCAACAGCATTGCTTGACAATTTCTGGCCGCAGGGAGCCGACGGAAGAATTTGCAGCAGCCATGTCAAAACTAGCAAGGTCACTTGCAGGGGTTCTGGCGGAAAATTTGGGCCACCGTAGACAAGTGTTTGAAGAAATTTGTGACGAAAGCACGTGCTTTCTTCGCTTAAATCGCTACCCAGCCTGCGCAGTATCCTCCGAGATTTTCGGTCTGGTGCCGCACACGGACAGTGGCTTCCTTACAATTCTTCGTCAAGATCACGTCGGCGGACTTCAGCTGATGAAAGACTACAAATGGGTGTCTGTAAAACCCAATCCAGAGGCTCTCATTGTCAATATCGGAGATCTCTTTCAGGTAAGAAAACAGGACACTGCATATATTCTTCTATGTAGCTGATTTAGTGCCCCCCATCAGATTAGCTTATTTTAAACATAAACATAAACATAAAAAGGTATAAGTTGACTACTTGAGTAAGAAAGGTGCACTTTTAATTGTTTATTCTGTTGTTGTCATATAACATCACCAACAACAAACAAACACAACTTTTTTTGTTGGATTTAAATAATATCGTATTTGCTCTCTACCATGGTCCATGTCTTCTAAATTATTAGTGAAACATGTGACAAGTTAATGATTCATTCTTTGGGAATCAATTGTAGGCATGGAGCAATGATGTGTTCAAAAGCGTGGAGCACAGAGTGATGACTAACAAGATGGAGAGATACTCAATAGCATATTTCCTATGCCCTTCTTATGACTCCCTTATTGGGAGCTGCAGAGAACCATCTGTCTATAGAAAGTTCACTTTTCGACAATACAGAAGCCAAGTACAAGAAGATGTTAAAAAGATGGGATATAAAGTAGGCCTATCAAGATTTCTTCTTCAGGATGAGAGTACACATACAACGCTAAAGGCAATGAAAACCATGTAAACGCCTTGGAAAGCTGACTAGAACAATAGATATAATATCAAGGCATTCGATTGAAGAAGCCCGCACTTTGCCTCGAGTTCATGGAATCATCCTAGGTTTATCCTATGTTATAGTAGCAGAAATATTTTCCATTGACAATTTTCACTGAAAGAAACAAAAGATAAGAAACAGTACAATAGCATACGTGATGTATATCAAACAGGCCGCGTATATACTATATCATATAAATATTTGTTCCAATGTTTAGCTGGACTTTGAGACAAATAAATATATCTTATTTGCTTCTCCTCGAGAAGTCGTCGAAAGGATTGCAGTGGCGATGTTCTTTACCAGGACATTCAAGTTATGTTCATTTCACAACTTAAGTCATAACTTAAGTTATGACTTTAGTTGTGTATGTGAGAGAAAAGCACTGTAATTAAAAAGTTAAATTTAAATTTTGTGAGAGAAAACATTATAACAATAAAACTTCACTTGTGACTTGAGTTATGAAATGAACAAGCCCCAAGGTTTTCAGGTAGACAATAATCCTATTACCTTCATCCAACTGCAAAAATGCAAAGATGGTCACTGTTGTATCAAGAATAATTGTTCAATTACCGAGAGCATACAAAGTAGCAGCAAAAGTAAATAAATAAATAGCCAACAAAAAAGCATATACAATTGATAGATGTTGGCAAATACGACACCATCTCTTACAATGAGGTCAGAATTGAGATTGTGATGGCATAACAAATGGCCATCTCTTTTGGCACCACGGTCCCGTGATGCTTTACGTCATTAGTTTTCAGTGTTCTATACAAATTATTCATCAGATGTTTTCTACGATCATTTACATAAAAATTAACCATATTCTTAAGATCAGTAACAAAGATCAGAAGATGGTAATACACACCTAGGTAAGTATCACATCCATGAGAAATGAATCTGGCTAGTCAACTGCCCAACTCACCTCGTTGCTTTTAGTATGGCGTAATATCACAATGTTTTGCAGTTTAGCAGCATGCTTGTCTTAGCAGTTGCGAATTATAAAATCTTATTCAGTCCAGAAACATTGCCAACTTGTCTTTGAGACTGCTTTTTTTCTTTACTGAAGGGGCTATTTCTTTCTTACTCTGTATCCCAAAGTCCTGCGAAAAAGCAGCATCCTCAACTACAGAATCAGTTTTCTTCTCCTCTACGGGTTTTCTCAACCAAGGACCTAAAAACAGATCTAGCATGTCTTGAGCAGGATCCCCTGTTGCTCTGGTAGTTATAGCAATTGTTTCGGTAGAACTGTTTAATTTGTGCGAAGCACTAATATTATGTGTAGATGATGATTGACAGTAGGAAGCACTAGTATCATCAGTAGCTGAATGGGCATCATTACAATCTTTTGACTCCTTCCTGGGAGATAATGTCGCTGGAGGTCTGAATCTAGGTTCACTTGTTCTCTTTGCTGCTTGATCTTGGTCCGTGTTCTTATCGGTTCGGACATACTGCATCAGAGAGAATATTATTAAGGGTTTTTGAGGAAAAGAAGTCTTTAAATTCAACTTTCTATCCAGCTTGGAGGATACGTATGGCAGGTTCAACCTATTAAGTGCTCTTCTGCATGAGACTCGAGTAGGAATGGGATGGTGTTTGACATTCTAAGGGCCCGTTTCGTATATGGTTTCAAACCACACTTCGTGATTGTGACTTTTGAAATTCATATATTTTGTGAGAGAAAAACACTGTAGCAGAACCAAGACCATAGGTTTGCACTGTAGCAGAACCCATATACTAAACATACACTAATAATATAAGAGATTTCTTATCACATTAATGAAATATAAACAACATGAATACCAAGTAAAAGAAAAAAAAATCACCTCCTCAGCAATGGTCATTAGATCTTCCATAGTCAGTTCCACATCTTCATCCTCACTTAGAGGCCGAATCTCTACTTCCTCGCTACTTTTAAAATCAAAATCCTTTGTTTTTTGTCTTTTCTGAGAAGCACATTCCAAGGATTCTTTCTTAGTTTTGATATTCTTCTTCGCTGGAACCTTTGCCGAAATCTTATTTTCAGACTCTGCATCTTTTTGTTTCACCTTCAGTTTTCTTCTACTCGTCTTACATTTTGCAAGAACATCAGAAGTTTCAAACAACTTTTCCTTTTCAGGACGCAAGCTCTCCTTTCCGGGATGTATCCTTGTAGTACTTGGATCAGAATGGCGATCATGAGACATGAGTTCTTCCACTGAGTGCTTTTTGTTTACTTCTACATTGTCAGAGTTCACCACTTGACCAGGAGCAGAGATCCCCAGCATCCATTGTGGTAAACGTCGACCACTTCCGCCATCAGGAGCTACTCCAACCATTTTTATAAGGATGCCGGAACCATATCAGGTGATAAATTTCTAAGAAAGCAAAGAAAATAAAAAATTACAGGACATTCTAACACCCTCACTAGAACAAAGTAATGTACTTGCAGAAACTACCAAGCACTAAAATTCCATACCAACACAGCTTTTCCATCTTCGCGTCTTTCCGTTAAAACATAAATACATCTACAAACTCTCCTTGACGGTAATATCCTTCCAAATGTTTCCATACCTATCTTCTTTTTTCAGTGAAACTAAATGCAATTTCATAACCAGAATTCAATATTATCCTCTGACTCCCTTAGAGGTTGCTATAACTATGACTTCATAACCAAAATTTCCCTTTTACCAAATAATAATTTATAGAAATTAAGGCCCTGTTTGGAAGTTGGATTTTAAAAAAAATCAAGGAAAAAGGGGAAACAATAAAGGGGAAAAAAATTTTCAACTTGTTTGGAACCTTAAGAAAATTTATAGGAAAAAAAGTTAAAATTCACTCAAATTTTTTTATCTCTTGTTTTAGTAGTTGAAGAAATTCTCCAAAAAAAAATGAAAATTTAAAAAAAAAATACATTTTAATATTTGAAAAACTTTAAAGGAGTTAGTGTGAGAGGGGTACGACTGTCATTATTCTCTCTCCTTACTTTCTCTCTCATCACTCTCTCTCATCAATGGCATTTGATTTTCTCAACATTAAGTTTCCAAATAAATTTAAAGGCCAATAGAAAAACCAAAGCAATATTGTGATCGTGAAAGAACAAACTTAAATGTCCCACAAAATCTTTTGTAGGACAACATGCAAATATGTACAAATAAGAAATAAGAAACAAGAAACAAAGTACCAGTAAGTTCTAAACTATCCTTGCCTACATGTTAATCATCCGTCTTCTCAAAATTTACTAGTTAGGCAATATTATTAAAGAGATGTGCAAGGAAGGCAGTAATCAATCAATCTTAATAAAGGAGATCCCCCATAGATTTATAAAAAGTTTAACAGATAAAGACTTGAGTACAATCTGAAAAGAAAAGAAAAAGAAAGAGAAAAAAAAAAAAAAGGTAAGTGTGTTATCATAGGAAACAAAAAAAGCAGACCTGTTCAACAACTTACATATATAAAGTAGATGAAGATAGAATAAAGTCTAAACGGAGCAAAAATTATGTGGCTCTATTGCTACTAGATTGGTTGTGGTTGGTGGGATCACCTTCTACCTTGTCCCTCTTACTGGTTAATATGACCCCTTATAAATTTAACTTATAAGGCTTAAGCCAATCCATCACAGAGTCACTCATTTTCCATTCTAATTTTCAGCCCTTTAATTTTCATTGTTAAGTTTCATTTTGCACCAAAAATATCAAGAAAAAAAAAAAAACACACAACAGACAAGGTTTAAACATAATCTATGACTATAAGAACTATTTTCTTCATCAATCAAGCACAAACAGATCAAGTATTCAGCACTCCCTCCCATCAATCAAGGTCCTAATCTTATCTTACCTTTGTGCGATCGAATTCACTATCTGTTCTCCTCCATCAAACAGCAAAGAAAACAAAAACCAAGGAATTTTAATAGAAACTAAATTGGCCGATTACAGAAAGAAAACTTATATACCCTTTTGGGAAAATAGAATCATTATTTGGTTTGGAGCCAGCAACTAAACAAGCTAAAAACAACGGATCAGAGAGAATACAAACCAAGCAATCACTAGATTTCGTAATCAGGCCTAAAAAAAACAAGTAATCCTAACTTAATACTATTTCTTTCTTAAAGAAAGTGAAACAGAACAAAACAAAATGAAAGTTAATCAACCCCATATCAATTTAACACAAACCGTCGCAGAGTCGGCCTTCGCATTAAAATTATCAAAATTTAATATACACATTCTCATGTGAAAAAAACTTGATAATTGGAAATTTATCAAAATTTATGATAAGCCGAAACCCTGAATTGAATGCAACGGAATTCACATACAACAGCCAATCACTATTTAATTAACACTAACAGGAACGACTAGAGAGAGAATTAAAGAGTTACCGCGGGAGCTTCACTCGGCCGGCGTCGGAGTTCCACCCGCCATCGGGGTCAAACCCTAACAGAGAAGAAGAAGAAGAGAGGGAGAGAGAGAAGTAAAGAAGAAGAAGAAGAGGAAGAAGAAAAGCTAGCGAGAAAAGGAGACGTGAAGAAGAAGGGGAGAGAGAGGACAGCACAAGAGAAGTGTCGTGAAGATTTTTGACGAAAAAAAAACAAAATAAATTATAGTAGATGGGTGGAGGGGTTTTTTTTTTTTTTTTTTTTTTTTAGAATTTGGGTGGAAAATTTAAATCCACATTTGTTAAATTGTGCTTACTGAAACAATTTTCTGTATTACTCAATTTTTTTATAAAAAAAATAAAATTAAAAACAATTCTTTTAAAAGCAGTTTCATGATATTTTATAAAATAAATATTTTTATTTTTTACGTTTTAAAATAATTAGATAGGAAGGTTTGTAGAGAATGCCCAAACGACCTTTCTTTACCTCCTCTCTCAATTAAACAAACAGTAATCACTTGTGCTGAATTTAAATTTAACATTTCAATGCTTCTGTGATGGTGTCAGCTTCACTATTCATGTAGTGACCAAGAAAATCTCAGAATTTTAATAATGTAATTCATGTAT